GAAGACAGTGACTGAATTGTCTTTGAAATTTTCTGCTTCATAAAAAAAAAAAAGTCTACCGGATACCATGGGCCTGTAGGCTGAAGATGGATGCCCCAACAATACAGAAGGACTTTGGGTGACTGTACAGGCAGCAAGATGTCTCTGTAAATTCTAGAGTTTTGGAAGTTGCTTACAATGCACTTCCTGTTTACTTAAGTAATATTATATCCTTCTGGAGTCTTTGATGGAGTTAAAGAATTTATAGTTATGGTTTTCTTTAGTTATGATAAAAGATAAAGTAGATATAAATATTGTAATTGTAATTCTTGCTAGATACCTATGTAATTTGATTATGTTAAAGTCTTCCTTTCTTTTTAAACAAAAAAGGGGAAATGGTATGGGAGGTCCATCTGTCTGTGTGCTCCTTTCATTGGTTAATGAATAGAGAAACTGCCTTGGCCTGTTGATAGAACTTAGGTAGGTGGGGAAAATAGAGCTAAATGCTGGAAGAAAGGAGGACAGAGCCAGAGAGACACCATGGAGCTGAATCTTTGCCAGTAAGCCATGTGGTGATATACAAATTACTAGAAATGGGTTAAGATATAAGAGTTAGCCAATAAGATGCTAGAGCTAATGGATCAATCATTGATTTAATAAATACAGTTCTGTGTGATTATTTGGGGGATAAGCTAGCCAGGTGGCAGGATGAACAAGCAACTCCTATCAACATGCCTCTATTTTTTATTCTCATCTTTGTTTCTACTCTTAGAGACTAAATTTAGATTGGTGAATTTTTACCATGGGTGACATTCATGACAAGAATTTAGAATGAAAAAAAAAGTATGCACAATAAAAAGGTCAAGAAGTTGTCCTATGTTTAAATAGGTCTTGAAATAATAAAGCCAAATGTTTTAGGATAATTAAGTACTCAAGAAATGGAAGATGTACCCAAGAAACTATTTCCTTACATTTTGGCCTATGATCTTCCTACTGAACACCAATCTACAAACAAATTAATCATGGAAGTTAGGTCTAATCTCATTCTTGAGACTAAGTTTTATATCAGTTGATCCTAGCTAAAGGTTCTCCTACAATGTATTCTTGGAGGATTCTTCCCCTGCGTCATGTCAGCACTATAGGCATACATATTTTCCAGTGGTGAGTAAAAGTTGTATAAATTTCAACATTTCTCTACTGTGTTGGGAGCACATTGACAATTTCTATATTATTTTTTTCTATATGCAGTATTTAGATTTTGGTTTTATTGGTACTGCAGAAGACTAGAATATACCATCCCAAAATATGCCTCAGGCATAAGGGTTATTTTGAGAAATTGCAGACATATGAAAAGCTCTGAAAATAGACTAAAACTAGTTTGTGAAGTTAATTTATGTCAATGAAGGAAACCTCCAGCATATGGCTCCCCCCATTGAATGCCAAGAAGAAAAATCAGTCTGAAGTTTCCAGAGACTCTTAATCAATGGAGAATAAATAGAACAGACAAGACTTGAGTCTGTATAATGCACTTTATAATTATTTACTATGATTTTCCTGATTACCTCCCCATGTCTGGCCTCCTTCAAAACCTTTATTTATTTATTTGTTTATTTATTTATTTATTTATTTATTTATATATACTGAAGTTAGTATATTATGTCATTTTTCTTGAACAAATGTCTAATCATCCCAGATAGGGAACCAATGACAGACTAAAATAAGAATAAGATCACAAAATCCAACTTGGTCACCCATTGAGTTTTATTAGGGTTACTTATAGAAATGTGAGTGTGAGTTAAATGAGCAGAAATAACTCAGAGACATTTGCATTAATAAAGCCTATCCCATGTCACAGCATGAATGCCAAAATCAAGCACACTATTCAACCTGTTGGCAGATCAATAGGTTGGAGGGTGTCTTTTACCAATGACTCAGTTGGTCCGAGCTTCTTTTATGTAGCTCAGCTGGTCAGTTTCTTCCAGGATATTTAGTTGTTGTCTGCTTCTTTATGTCTACTCCAACTAAGATTCTCCCAAGCAGTTCAGCTGGTCTGTGAGTAACTCTCAGAGGTGTTTACTATTCATACAATATTGAGGAAGGAATGGTCTAGTGAGTTTAGCCAGTTTTAGGGACTTCCTAAAACTATTGTGAATTGTTTACTTCCTATCTTAACTAGCTTCCCTGTAAGATGGAATTTTTACCTCCCCTTAGAATATCCTGCTGTTTTACCTTTCCTGGAATCATCCTATCTTAAAAAAAAAAAAAAAAAAAAAAAAACCTGCTTTTTCCAACCCCCTTTCACATCTAATGCAGTTTCTCCCTAAGAGGGAAGGTTTTAAACTCAAAAGAAACTGTTACACAACAGATAATTTATTTGTTTAAAAACAATGTCTTGTTATATTGTCAAAGCTGTCCTGGAATTTATGATTCTCCTGCCTCAGCCTCCTTAGCAGATAAGATTACAAGCATGTATTACCCTACATAGATAAAGATGGTATTTCAAAGCTGAATTGTAATCCACCTATTTGAAGATTTACTCATTTTCCTTTGGACACCTGAGTTTTGACAAAGAAACCAAAATTTTGCAGTGTAAAAAAGAAAACATCTTCAGCAAATGGTGCTGGCATGACTGAATGCTGACATACAGAGCAACGCAAATAGATCTGTTTCTATCCCCATACACAAAACTCAAGCCCAAATGAACCAAAGACCTCAACATAAATCCAGTTACATCAAAGCTGATAGAAGACAAAGTGAATAGTAGCCTTGAACACACCGGGGCAGACACTAAATAAATAAATAAAACATTAGTAGCAGACACTAAGAACAACAATGAATAAATGGGACCTCCTAAAACTGAGAAGCTTCTGTAAGTCAAAGAACATTGCCAATATGACAAAAATGACTCTCTACAAAATAGGAAAAATTCTTTATCATACCCACATCTTACAGAGGGATGAACTAGAAATATATAAAGAACTCAAGAAATTAGACATCAAAATACCAAATAATCCAATTAAAAATGGAGTGCAGATTTAAACAGATTATTATCAAGAGAAGAAACTCAAATGTCCCCCCCCAAAAAAAAAAAAACATTTACGGAACTGCTTAACATTCTTAGCCATAAGGGAAATGTGCAAATCAAAACAATACTGAGATATCATCTTATACCTGTCAGGATGCCTTACATCAAAAACACTGATGATAGCTTATGTTTGAGACCATGTGGAGTAAGGAGAATACTACTCCACTAATAGTGGGAGTGTAAACTTGTAAAGCCACTTTGGAAAGCAGTATGGCAGTTTCTCAGAAAATTGGGAATCAATCTACCTCAAGACAGCAATCCTAAATTTGAGCATATACCCAAAGGATGCACACTCATACCCAGAAGGACATTTGCTCAACTATGTTCATAGCAACACTGTTCATGATAGCCAGAACCTAGAAACAATCTAGATGCCATCTCATCTGAAGAATGGATAAAGAAAATGTGGTACATTTATACAGTGGAGAATTTCTCAAGGTAAAAAACAATGACACCTTGAAATTTGCAGGCAAATGGATGGGAACTAAGAAAAAAAAATCATCCTGAGTGAGGTAACCCAGACCCAGGAAGACAAACATGGCATGTACTCACTCATAAGTGGATATTAGACATAAAACAAAGGATAACCATGCTAACCATACTACAATCCAGAACCCCAGAGAAGTTAGCTTTAAAACGGAAGACCCTAGAAGGACACACATAGAGGAACCCAGAAAAGAGAAATAGTTAAGATCTCCTGGGTAATCTGGGATATGGGGTAGAAGGGAAGGAATGGGAAATGGGAACATGAAGGGTTAGATGCCTTAGTTGGGAGAGGAATGGAAAGGGAGAGAAATGAAAGAGATATCTTGATAGAGGGAGCCATACTGTGGCTAGGGAGAAACCTGGTGCTAGGGAAATTGCCAGGAATCCACAAAGATGGTTCTATCTATGACTGCTAGCAACAGTGGAGAGAGTACTTGAACTGGCTTTCCCCTATAATCATATTAGTGGGTAGCCTAATTGTCATCATAGAACCCTCATCCAGTAACTGATGGAAACAGATGCAGTGACCCACAGCCAAGCACTAGGTTAAACTCCTGAAGTTCAGTTGAAGAGAAGCAGGAGGGATTACATGAGCAAGGGGGTTGGGGGGAGACAAGATCATGATTTGGAAAACTACAGAGACAGCTGACCCGCGCTAGGAGGACCTCAGGGACTCTGGGCTGACACCTGGGGAACCTGCATGGGGCCCAACTCGGCCCTCAGAATATGGGTGACAGTTATATGGCTTGATCTGTTGGGTGCACCCTGGCAATAGGACCAGGACTTATCCCAGGTGCATGAACTGGCTTTTTGAAGCACATTCTCTATGGTGGGATACCTTGCTCAGCCTTGATACACGAGGAGGGGCTTGGTCTTGCCTCGATTTTGTATGTCAGATTTTGTTGACTCCCTAAGGGAGGCCTTACCACTCCCTCTGAGGAGTAGATGGGGTGTGATATGGGGAGAGGGAGTGGAAAAATAGGACAGGGAGGCAACTGGGGTTGGTATGTAACATGAAAAAAAAAACAATAAAACCACGCTTTCCCCCCAAGGTAATCCCTATGTTGACGCGTAATATATCAAACTTATTACTTTTTGATTTCTAAAAAAATTATATGACAAACATGTTTATATGTTTTACTCTACTCCATCTTATATTTTTGACATTCACCAGTATTGGTAGATTTAACAGGGATTTGTTAATTCCCTTTGTTGCTATCAGGTTTTTCTGGTATGAATGTTTCTGTCCCCTTAAATTACATTTATTGAATACCTACGCCTTTAAGTGTCATAGAATACAGAACTTTTTAGCAGATAATTTGGATATGAGAGCTCTAACTTCATAAATGGCATTAATGCCTTTAAAGAAGAAAATACAGAAAACTAGATTGCCCCTCAAACATCTAAGGGCATAAAGAAATGTCACTGCCTTTAACAAAGGAATCCTTACCAAATAGTATTTTCCAGCAACTTGATCTTACATTTCCTAGGCTGTAAAGCTGAAAGAAATAAATGTCAGTTGTTCATAAACTCCAAGTCTCTGGAAATTTATTAGTTTCACATCAATTAATATTTTATTAAAATATTACAGAATTATTTTCCTTTTCTGTTGGTAAAAATTTGAGATATTTCCATTTATGATTTAACTGCATTCTAATACATATATATACATATATATATATATACATATATATATATGCACTTTAGCTCTATATATGCAGGAATAAAAGTGGTAGAATTGAATATGTGTATGTTCAAATTCAGTAAGTGACATTAGACTTTTACTATTATTTCCCAAATATGTATGAGCACTATATAAAATTTTAGGTCTTATCAGTTAATTGTTTGCATTTGTTTCTTTGTATAATGGTATTTCATTATCATGTATTCATAGTTATATGAATTAGAACACATGTATAGATTTATATATGCTATCACCTTAATTATGATAGAAAATGGTTTTATTACTTCCTTTATGCTGCTATTTTATACTCACTACTTTCATCCAACCATAATCACTGGTAACCAGTGATGATTCCCTGTCCTTACTAGTTTGTTTTTTCTAATTGCCACAAAAATATACTCATCAAATATATAATCTTATTTTTTTCAGTTTTCAAATGCTTTTTTTTGTAGATTGTTTGAACCTTAAATTTTCATCAACTGTTATTCAAAATAGTTATCTGAAATTCCAAGTTTTGTGTATGGAGGAGAGATGGTTCAGCTGTTAAAGGCTAGGCTCACAAAAAATATATAATCTTTTTGTTATTATTATTATGAGAATTTTACACATGAGTACTGTGTTCACATCATTTCTACCTCTCCCTCCCCCTCTTCCAACTCCTATTGTGTCCTCCTCTCTACTCCTTTTCAAATTCATGATCTCTTCCTTTTTAATTACACATATACATACATAATTATTTAGAATATATGATCTCTTGGGACTGGCATTTTTATAATGTAGAATAACTTTGTAATCCATTTATGTAGCAATATTATGAATTTTTCCTTCTTATAGATGAGAATTATTGAACTTTTTCAGGCATTTGGATTATATCCAGATTTTTGCGGCTATGACTCAAATTGCTACAAATGTTCATGAACAGGTTTTAAAAGGGTGCAAGTTTTTCTTTAATTTCATAAGCCATAAGATAAATACCTAGTAGTATACTTGTTGGGTCATATGGTAAGACGCTTTCAAACTATTTTTTTAAAGGGCTGCACTATTTTCCATGTCTGCTACCAACATATGAAAGCTCCTATTCCCCTATGTTCTTGCCAGCGTGTAACATTGCCAGATACTAATGGCCTCCTTCATTGTCCTGTGGATGTATCTCACTGTTGTTTTAATTTGCATTTTCCCAATACCAAGTGATGCTGAGCATCATTTAATATGCTTGTTTGCTATTTATATGGATTTGTAAACAAAATATCTGTTCAGATTTTTTGCCTATTTGTAATGGGGTTGTTTACTTTCTTCTCGTTAAATTGCTTTTATAACCTATATACAAGTCTTTTATTTAATACATAACTCACAAGTATTTTCTCCCACTCAGAAGCTTCATTTTGCATGCAATGCCTTTTGCAAAGTAAATGTTTTTAATTTTTATAAAGTTCAACTTGACATTTTTTTCTTTATTTCATGAATCATGCTTTTAACCCAAGGACAGGTTTTTGCCTGTATTTCTTTGGAAAGCCTTAGGGGTTTGTTTGACATTTAGGCCCAAGATCCTCTTTGAGATGACTTTTGTATAAACTATTAGGTACATACCGATTCCTTTCTTCTCTTCCTCCATTCTTCCATTGCAGAAAGAAGCCATTAGTTTTTTTCTTTTAAATTCTCTTTTCTGAATTGAGAGATTCCCTCATTCTTGCAATGGGTGGTTCTGTTGTCTTGGCAACTCATAGGGTGTCCCAGCCTCTGAAGGCTTGGGACTTATGAGCCCCCGACTTCCTTTGGCACTAGTCCCTTCGCGGATGCTGGTCTAGATTCTTCCACATGGCTGTAGAAATCATGCTCCCGTGTTGCACACAAACTTGGCCTAGATGCATGGAACAGATGCATGAAGAGGACAGGGGTTTGGTTCCCTGCACCTATTTTGGGTAGTTCAGCTTCTAACTCCAGGTTCAAGGGATTCATCACTGTCTTCTGGCTTCACCTGAACATGCAGAGCAGATACATTAAATTATTTAAAGGGTATTGGAGAGATGGGTCAGCAGTTAAGAGCACTGGCTCCTTTAAAAATAAATCTGGATAAGTAAAACTGAATGATGTGGGAGTGTCATATATCAATCTATTGATTTCATTGGTTAAGTTATAATAAACCAGCTGCTTGGCCTCATGGCTTGGAACATAGATGGGAGGAGTAAACAGAATAGAATTCTGGGCGGAAGAGGAAGTGAGGTCAGACTCTGCTCTGCTCCCGTAGAGACCCGACAGCTCTGCTGGAGCAGAGACGCCATGCTCAGCTCTCCTGGGTAGACGCAACGATGGATGGAGGCTAGAATCTTCCCGGTAAGCGCACCTTGGGGTGCTTACAAACATCATTAGAAATGGGCTAGTCCAGGTGCGAGAATTAGCCTGTAAGGGCTAGAGTTCATGGGCCAAGCAGTTCTTTAAATGAATACAGTTTGTATGTTGTTATTTCGGGCATGAGCTAGCCAAGCGGCCGGGGTGTTGGGGACACAGCCCCGCCGCTCCTTATTTCAACAACTGAACTTCTTTAAAAACTAAATCTCTTCTTTTTATTATAGTTTGAATTGTTTTCTTCATTCTAATAAATTCATTTTCATACACTTTTAGATACTGAACCCATATCCTTTAGTGATATTTTTTAAATGACTAGCATATTTTAATGTGACCTAGTATATTTTTCTTCTCATGTTTTTCTTTTTTACTTTTTTGGTTTTTCCAGACAGGGTTTCTCTGTGTAGCTTTGGTGCCTGTCCTTGAACTAGCTCTTGTAGACCAGGCTGGCCTCGAACTCACAGAGTTCACTCTGCCTCCCTAGTGCTGGGATTAAAAGCATGTGCAACCACTGCCCAGCCCTTTTTTCATGTTTCATAGATGCTTTTTCTATAAGTTCATTTGTTGTATTTGACACATACCCTCTGTCTGCTTTGTCAACACACAAAATACACTTCTGGTGTTACAACACTCTTTTCTGCTAATGCTAGCATCAAAGTTAGTTTTGTATTATTCTTGTTGATTGATAATGGACATGTGGGTCAAATCAAATAAGTCTTTCCTCCTTCTTTGTAATCTTAGAAAGATGTGATTTGATGTTGCTATAATTTGGTCACACTTTGTGGCTCTTAAAAGTTTATAGTGATTGAAGACTTTCTTTCTAGGATTGTGCTTTTTTTTAAGTTGGAGGAACCTTGAAGGGGCAAGAACCTGGTGTAAGAACCTAGTCAATGGTTCTTAGGTAATTGTGCACAGGAGATGCATCCCATATGACCTTATCAGCAGTTCAAATGCAACACGCTGTCACCTTCTGCCCTAATCAGAGGCCAGAAGAATACTCATCCATCCACCTCCAACACAGTCTTTGAATTTGATTTTCTCAAACTGAACTACATAAACCTTCTTTATCTTATAAGTGACCTTTTCAAGATGTTTCAATATAACAACAAAAGTAAACCTGACTAAATCTTATGTAAATACTATGGCTTTACCTTTTTTGGTTCTGGATATGTTTTTTTTTTTTCCTACTGACATGATCAGAGGCTAAAATATAAGATGCCTTATCTTGCTTTTATGATTTGTTAGGTATAGTGCAGTGAAGGATAAAGGCCCAATTATTTCTCTGGATGGAGAAAAAGTTCTCAAACCATTCTGTGCAATGTACAGTGAATTTTAAGTCTTTTTTGTCTAATTGGTAGGAAGGGGCCCTATTCCTAGCCTTGAGTAAAAGTCCCCTGTACTTTGACCTTTCCAAATGATTATTCCCTGGCCTTGAGTAGTTTCTACCATCAATGCACTAAAAATATCCTTTAAAAGACTTAAGGAGGGACTTCTGTAGAACTCTATCTTTAGGATTCTCTGTGAATCTTTACCCTTAGAATTTTGCCTTGTGATCTATAAGATTTTTGGACTCCCTGACCTCCCAGCTCTGTTTCCTAAATTTACTTCTCCATGTTTTTCCAGGGTTTCCCATCCAAGCATGCTTGTTTAGAATTCTCCAGGAAGTAAATTAATACAATCACAGGTTTTCCCTCATTTGGTCCTGGTCTCATAAAGATCATTGTCCTTCATTACCTGACACTCAGTGTCTTGAATGTCATTGCTCATTTATTTTCATTCTCATTTATTTAATTGTTTCAAGTGTGAGAATAAATCTAGTCCCTGTTATTGCATCTTGGCCAGAAGAAAAAATCTTAATTTGCATCCTTTATTACCACTAGTGAGTTTGAATATCTTATATGCCTGTTGGCCATAATATTTCTTTTAATGTGAAATGATACTTTATGAATTTTTGCCTATTGTTTCATTGTAGCAATTTGTAATTTCTCATTATTTTAGAAGAATTTTTCATATTAAAGCTATCAAATTTATGTCTGTAATATATTTTGTAATTATTTTATTTATTTGTTATTTGCTTTTCATTTTATTTCATTTGGTAATGCACCCAATTTCAGTTTTTACTTGCTCACATCTATTATTCTTTTGATATCTTCCTTTTTTGTTTTCTTATGTTTGTGTCTAAGATTCGTGTAAGGCATCAAACTCAGGCCTTATTAATGTCACATATTCTAGACAAGTACTCTAGCAGTGAGCTCCACACTCAGCTCCATATAGTTTTTCCTTTTTCACTCTACCACTGGACAACATACAAATCTCACAGCACTATAATTATCCTATTATTTCTACTAAAAGCACAAGGAGATAATATATCAGAATCCAGTTTTCTGGGACAGTTATAGCCTGTAACACTTTTGCAATATTTTTAAACAATTTTAATACAATGTCTTATTATTTCCTTTTATTAACTTGCTATTATTCAGTGAAAACAAGCCCTGTGTAGACCTGAAGAAGAAGGAAAACAGAGTGTGTGCCTGAAATTTTTATGGTGTTTTGTTTGCATCATCTGCTTTTGTAAAAAATATGGAGGAAACACACCACATGTATTCACTCATTCGTTCATTTCCTTCATAACTTCCATTTCTTTATCTTTCATAGTTTTCCTAATTATTTTGAATGAACTATATTTTTTGTATATTTTGACCCATTTTCCCATTTCCACTGCATGTTTAAACTTAGTAATTCTAGGCTTCATCTGAATTTTATCTGATATTCTCTCAATGGGTACAATCTTATTAATTATGCAAGTAGACATTTGTGTTTTGCTCTGACATTTTAGTGGATATAATTTTGCATGGGCATACTATCTCAGATCTCCATGTTCTTATCTTGTTTTTCTAATTCTCAACATTGGTTTCCAAAGTTCAGTGGTTTATTGAAATTTCAGAATTTTTAAAGTGATTTTCACCTTTACCAAGTAACCTCAATGGTCTTTGAATACTGACATTTGAGATAGATTGTGCATCAGAAATCATTCTGTCCCCAGAGAATGGGAACGGGAAAGTGGCCTGTTTGCTGTAGCTATTTTTACTTAGAGCCAAAGTGAAGTCTCTACAAAGAGTGACTTAGGAAGAGAAAAACCTCCTAACAGAACAATTAACTGATTTTCTGAATGATTTCTTTTCAGAGTATGGCATGTAGAAGTCCTGATGGAGGCAGTTCAAGTCCTTTGTATGGTGTCAATTCATAGCTTTGTACATTCATACAAAGAACATGCTATTCATCTTTCATTTCAGGACAGCACTTCATTTTTCCCAAGATGAATGTGCTTCTTGTGCAGGATCCTGAGGACTAGTGTGTGGGTTAAGTTTGGGTCAACTTGTCTGAGTCATGGTTCTCAGATATTTTGGCAAACATTATTATATAAATGTTTCTATAAAAGTGTTATGTGAATAAGATTAAGGCTTAACCTGGTGGACTTTACTTAAAGCAAATGACCTTTCATAATGTTGATCGGAATCATTCAGTTGAAGGTTTGGGAGAGCAAAAACTCACTGCTTCTAGCAAAGAATTCTGCAACCATATCCCCACTAGCTTTCGATTCAAACTGCAACTTTTCTCCAGGTATCCAGGATACTAGGTCATTCCATTTATGATTATAAACTTACTACATATTGTGGTTTGATTGCGTTCCTCCTAAAGTTCATATTTTGAAATCATAACCTTACCAAAGTGATATTAGAATGAGGGGCCTTAGAGATATGATTAGGTCAAGAGTATTCTACTTTCATGGATATTAGTGCGCTTATAAGAAGAGGCTTTATCCCTATTATCACATGAGTACCTACCTAGAAGGCATAACCTATGAATCAGACTCTGAATGTTTTTGACCATTGTTGTGAACTTTCTAACCTCTAGAACTGGGGAACCATATTTGCACTGTTAATAAGTGACAGCATTGTTTGCAGTATTTTGTAAATGCTACCTGAAGTGACTAAAGCCCCAAGGCTCCACAATCACATGAGCTATTTTTTCCTGTACTTAGGATTGAACATCGGTGCCTATGTTACATTCTCGTTTTACTCACTTTTGAGACAGAGTCTCACTAAGTTGTCTATCTTGGCCTTCAGCTCATTCAGTGTAGCCTAGGCAGGCTGTGAACTCAGATGCTTCAGCCTCCCAAGTAGCTAGGCCTATATCTCTCTGTTTGATTATATGCCACAATTCTTGAAAATAAACCTCTCCCCCACTCTTTCAGACACATGTAAAGACTGGTCAACTTTCTCTATTTTGTGTTCCAAATTAGGTAGTTTTATGATTTTTTAAAAAAATGCTGTCGTGTCCTCAGCAGGCTCACACCAGAGCGGGCAGATGTGAGCAGGCAGGGGGATAAAAGGCACATGGCCTAAGCGGGTGGTGTGAGCAGGCAGCAAACTCACAGAGCAGCCGGGCGGGCTGCTTGCCATGAGGTGAGAAACTGAGCAGGTTCCCAATAGCAAGCAGGTGCGTGGGTAGGGACATGTAACAGACACATCATATGGATCAGAACTGGATGTTTATTACTTAGAGGAGAGAGAGAGAGAGAGAGAGAGAGAGAGAGAGAGAGAGAGAGAGGAGAAAGTAGGGAGAGAAGGA